CACATATTATAGTACTGTATATAATTGAGTTTTGACAGCATCCATCAAACTAGATTTTTTGCCTTAATGGTCTGTTTTCTAATATTTCTGTGTTTCTGAACCACGTCTGTGTCTGACGTAATGTTCGTATTTAGTCTCCTGATTTTAAATGGGAATTAAATTATTTGAGTGTTCCCAAAGAACCGGTGTTCTGCAGTTTGTGTGGGCCTACTGTACTGTTGCACAGTTTACTGTAGAAACTATGTCCAGGACAAGGTATTTGGAAGTTTTGGAAGATTCATAGCTAACCACACTGAAGATTATGGAGGTATTGATCAATCTTCTGATATCTCTAACATCACCAGAAGTCATAGTTTAAGGGGTCATTTCTCAAAATGTTCCCCGTGTGGTTTATTCACCATTACAATAGCCCCACCTAAAATAATTTCCACCAGCTGCCACTGGTTTCAAACCAACCCTCGGTGCTAACGTTAACTACACTAGATAACATTTATGACAGTTGGCATTTTCCGTTAGCAAAATCAACGGTTAGAATCAAGGCAAATCAATTCATTCATATGACGTTAAATCAAATCTGAAGTTATGGCACTTTTCATGTAAATCATGATCTCGACCGTATGTTTAAGAGACCTTACATTTCCCTCAAAGCATGATCCAACAGTACCACACCGCCAAGGACCGTTTAATGGTTAGAAACCTCAAGCAGAACCCTTCCGGAAAATAACGTAATTACTTTACATTTCTATCATAAATCTATATATATATTTATTTATATAACAATTATGTTTCAAGCATGAATGAAAAGCTTGATGGATGCACTAGGGGAGTTTGGGGTTTCTCCTCTTGGAGCAAAAGTGCAGCATTAGTTAAAAGAAGGCTATTACAAAAGCTACAGTAAACACAGAACCGCCCCTTGAGTGATATTAAGTCCATTCATTCCCGATCTACCGCACATCCACCACCTTTTTTATTAACTTGATTTACAGTACATTATGCTCATTGCTGCTTTTTTTTTTTAATGATTGCTTACAATTTCTTTTTAAAGGCACTACTTGTAATCATGATGATTAATTTCGTAATCATTCACTATTTGAGTCCGTTTTAAAGTTGTAAAGGTTTGCCTGCAAGCGTTGTTTTACATCTTGCTCTACCTAGTCTCTTTAATGTTATGTGTGTGTGTAGTATTGGCCAAAGCGTGCACTGAATATTATCCATATAGGCCAGACTCACTGCACCGGCTTGTGTTGATCTGATTCAGCTAGTAGCGTACACACACATTGGGAAAAACATCTGTTAGGAACAAAATACACTCACATACAGACATGCTTTCAAAGTGCACGCTTTCTTGGAAGCACACGGACATGCACAGGCTGTGCACATCCATTCAGACATAAACTCCGGTCCATCGCATATGCACTGCACGCACGTAGACATTATCTGGAAATGGCATCGAGCATCTGTTTGGACAGTGTTACGCATTCAGTTTTTTTGAAACACTGGCAAGACTCCTGCATTGGCCATGAGAAGCTTTTCTACTGCAGCAGGGTGACCGAGTGACCGCGCAGCCGGCCCATTGTCTGCTCGCTTCACACACACACACACACACACACACACACACACACACACACACACACACACACACACACACACACACACACACACACAACACACACACAACACAC